CCCCAAAACCCCAAAACCCCAAAACCCCTTTTGGAGGGTGGGAAATTGAAGATGAGTGGGGTTATATGGAAGGTAATTCAAATGTCACTCTGAGTTTCTTTCTGTGTTCTTGTGGGCTCTTGTTTCTTTGTTTCTGTAGTGAGTGAGGGAGTTGGAAGAAGGGTTTTGAGTGAAATATTATGTTGAAGTGATCTAAAAGTAGGCAAATAATGAGAAATTTAGATTCTCGAGTAATTGTTTCTCGATTACTCACGAATGTCTCCAAATAACTTCCTCCCTACACTTCCTAAGCAATGCATGCAAAAATGCACATGATATTAAAAAATAGCCTTAAAATCTTCAAAATTTGCACCATTGGTATTATTACTTAAATCAAAAGAGGACTCAATACCACATACCATAAATTTAGAATTAAGTAGTTCCTCTGTCGCTGAGAACTTCATGATCTGTCTGAAATGTTCTAGAGAAAGATAACGAACTATGATATAAAATTTTCAAAATAAAGCCGCTTACTTTCTGCATTCCTCTGAGTAAGTGAAGGAGGATTGAAGAGTCTGGAAGGATAGTCTAGAGTCAATCAGATATGACAAATAGCACAGATAGTTTGATTAAAGAAATAAACAGCTCCTAGAGTATTTTTTCAACACAAAAGCTCACAGTTTTTCCTATGATCCTCTGCTGATAAGCCATTGGGAATTAAATTTACTTACTCTTAGGAGTTCTAAAACTATGACTGCAGCTGCTCTGTTCCTACTAATCAGAGGGCGAACATACCGTGCTTCTGTACAGAAAATCTATTGACTTTTTGAGTTTTGAAGTTTTGCCAGAATTGATATCAGAATTGAGAGCTTGAGATAGCCTGAATGACTTTGAGCCTAGATGAGGCGAAGGAAGCATTTGAGGGACTTTTTCTAAAGATTAGTTGCCAAAGTACTCTTTTGAACTATTTGGCTCTTCTTAATAACTAAATTTTGCTTTGTTTTTGGGAGAGAAGGAGATTTTTGAGGCAAAGAGCTTGAAGTACATCCAGTTTCTTTATTTTCAAAAACTTGTCTAGGAGAAACATGCAAAATATTGGGAGCTGAATTGTCAAGGTTGCTACTTTGCTGAGTACTTGGAGTAATAGGTACTTTCTCAAGTATTGCCTGCAATCTTTGAGTTGCTCCTAAATCTATTAACCAAATTATATTGATATCTTTGCAAGAACCCAAACCTGATTTGTCAATCCCAAGATGTGTATCAATAGATATGAATCTGTTCTCTTTAATTCTGCCACTATTCAGTTTCTAAACTTCTCAAAAATATCTTACTGCTATGTTTGACATTGCTCTATGAGTAAAGCTACAGGGCCCTCTAGTGCTATCTTTTGGCAGAGTTCAACTTGTTGAGCCTATTCATATGTCAGCCTAGTTTCTTACCTTCATTCTGATTGTTTTTGCATCAATATTTCTTAATGTCTGCTAAGTTAAGATGTTTGATAGTCTGAGATTTCTCTCTTTGCCTAATATTGGTAAGAAATAAATTAAATGAAGACTATCCAAGAATATGTACCTATTTTGAGCCATATTTAACACTCTTCTTGTCAATTCTTGTCTGTAATTATTCAATATTGGTTCAATAAATGATTTGATTAACTTTTTGTTGTTATTTTCCCTACTTTCAGAGATTACAAGGCTCTCATAGAATTATTTAAATTCTCTCGTTTTTAAATAATAAGCTGAAACTATTTCTTACCTTGCTTTTGGATTTTTAGCAATAGTAGAAAGACCAATACTCTGTTCATTTCTTGTGGCATCTAGGCTAGTCTTCTTATAAGGTTTATTTTTGATTTTCCTTGCCAGAATTCCCCAAATTCTTTCAGTCACTTTTATTCAACACATGAGGGTCAAAGAAATAGCTGTTCTTGAGAGACTGAATGACATGGCTTTTGTTCCTGGCCCCTCTATACTTTGTGGATGACTTAGTTCCATTCAGACTTTTCTGGGGAGGAACGAGCCTGCCAATCTCTGTCAGATAAACTTTGGATATATTGTTACTAATTCTATATAATAACCCATGGCCTTGGACTGCTTACCTCTTGATCTTCTTGTGCTGGCTACTGTTAAGCATCTTCTTGCTTTTGAGTGGATTTTTGGAGATTTGGGAGAGCAAGCGATCTGTCATGTTGAATTTCAATAATTATCGTAGTAGAAGGGGTTTTGGGGTTTTGGGGTTTTGGGGTTTTGGGG